TTGAGTGAAACTCAGACTCAAGTTGTCCACCTGGAGTTTGAGTTCTCGCAGGAAACTGTGTGCGTTCAACTTCAAGCATTAATGCTTTCTCTTTCTCCAGAGATTTGATGAAGGCTAAACAAACACATACATAGCACCTTTACAGTTTTAATGGCCATGAGCAAATGTGTTTTCTGCCACATTGTCAGCGATCCCCCCTGTGAAAGCCAGAGCTGCAGCCTGAATTATTCATACCTGTCAGGTATTGTTGATGTAATACATTTAGCGGAGTTGTTGTGAAGCTGATTCAGCTGACAGCAAAGGCATGAAGGCAGATGGAAGAAGCTGACTGGTGTCTTGGTGGTTTTCCAAAGATGCTCTTAAATCTGTAAAAACTTTCACACCTTCTCTCACTCCTACTGATGCTTGGCTTGTATTTTGCTGCTTTGATCTATTGTTTAGGCTCCTCTCTCTGCTTTTCATTTTTATGAACATACAGAGATTTTTGTGGGCCACGCATCTCCCTCTCTCATCTCTTAATCCCGAGGGAAATGAAGGAAGTCATGGCGGGAAGAATGATAAAGTTAGAAAAGTTATCTAGACCTATCTATAATGTTTTGACTTGACAGGTCGTAACTGATAACACCCAATCAGGAAGGGAATGTAGGTGTCTGTCTCCCCAGACACACCAAACCAACATCAGAGAATTATACCCCTTTTCGACAGTCATGGGCTGGCTTGGCTTGGTTTGGGCCATCAGCCCAGCACAGCAGGGATTTGCATTTCCATTACAGGGCTACCCTCTTGAAGGTGTGTCTTTAACTGATGACAGCTTGTTTTGAGTGATGATGTTTAAAAGCAACAGGCTGATCCACAGCTAAAGTCCCTGTTATTTTTGTTGCATGTGTTTTTACACAGCAGGGCAGGTAAAAGAAGTTTACCTGTTGGAGGTGAGCTGTTTGCAGAAGTGCAGTAAGAGCCTGTTGTCTGCAGCTCTTCATCAACATTTCACTGTGGCTGTTTCTGCTTCTACTCTTCCTCCCTGCTGTATCATTAGACTTGTCTTTATTGAAGAAAAGCCGCTGTCAAAGTTCTGCTAATTCAGTGATAAACACATTTCACACAATTTAAACTTAAAAACTTAAAATTTAAAAACTATTTTGCATGCCTAGTTTTTAAGTTTTAAGTTTTTAAGTTTCAATTTTGAAATCTTTAATCTGACTCTTTCCCCTTGACTGCTGTAACACTGGAATTTCTCAATTATGGGATCAATAAAGGTGTATCTTATCTTATCTTATTTCATTTCCTATAGATTCCCCACAACAAAAGTCCCTCTTCGAATATGGCAGATAGCGAAGATGAAACAGTAAAATAAAGCTAAAATAAAGCTGACATCCTGCTGACGCAGGAGAGAAACTAAACTCCTTTGTGGGGGAGACGGATCGTCAGGGGTTGGCTGCAGTGGGCAAGACATCACTGCTACCTGCTTGAGGGCGGGAAGCCCGGCATCTGACCCTACTCTGGAGAAGGTCCATCTCCAGTGCGGCTTATTGGGCATGGTGTGTCTAAACTGACAATGAAAAAAACAAACTTGCCACGGCAGGACTTTCATTCAAAAAAGGAAATGGGAAGACTGAGAGGATTGCTTCAAGACACTAGTCAGCCAGTTATATAACAAGTTTGTTTCAAACTCAAACAAGGCTGATGAGGGCCAAAAGTGCGAGACACACAGCAAAAACTGGAGTGACAGACGCTCACAACGGCCCTACATTGACCAGCGGAGGACTGGTGGCTTGGTGTGTCAAGGCCCTAAAATGCAGCCCCAGAGTTTTCAGAGTACAACAGGGTCAGCTGTGTTTTTCAAAGGTCTCCTTTTTATGGGTTCCAAAACACCTGAATAGTGTGGACATTTGGCATTAATGTGGCAATAGTTTTGTGTTTTAAAATTATAACATGTTAGTATGGATGTAAGGTGAGGCTCAACTGGCTCCCTTCATTGTGAGCAAGTAGCAGTTGTGGGGTCATTTGGATGTCTGAGCTCCTCAAAATATTTCCAAAAGTGACAGTCTGCTCAAAATGAGGTTGTTCGTACAACGTCATCCGACAGTATCTGATTGTAAATGTGTTTTACAGCTGTGAAAAGTCAAAGATGGAATGCTGCCTACCAGTGAGAGTGATGATACAGGATCTGTTAAATTGGGGATAACAGTGCACTCTTTTGGACTGTCTGTCCTTGAAGGCTTTTGTAGCATTGAATTCGATTGTACACATGAAAAGTGCTGGAGGTAACTGAGTAAAAAATGAGAGAGAAGTTCAAACCCTGCTTACTCTCTCATCTCCACACATCTGGTCAGTCGCTGCATAAAGTTTGTAGACCTCAATCTGTCAGATTTAAATTGTTCGAGATAAGAAGTCAACATGCCAAAGTGTGGATTTCTTTCAGATGTTTTGGTCCCAACAGTCCCAGAGGAAAATTAAATGGATACAAAGCCGACAGTTGCAGTAGATCGTCTGTCAGGATTTCAGATTCATATTTGATTAAAGTGAAATTAAAGTTACTGTTAGACGCTGAGATCAGAATAATCTCATATTTAGTAGACAGACAAGAAGAGAGCTCCAACAGGCCTAAAAGATCCCTGAACGTTTCCTTTAGTTCCTATAACCCCTGAAATCTAAAAATGAACAGATGACTTAGAAAGTATTTGTGATTACACCTGACATGACAAGTGATTAATAATCACATAAGACACACGACTTTACGTGGCCGGCATGTGCCAGGCTATAAAAGCCCGACTTTGCGCATGCACCCACTGATTCATTGATTTCCACCTGTCGGAATCGACTTGAGAGCAGAAAGAAAAGGGAGAGGAGTTTAGCGTTTTGTCCAGTTACCTTCGTTGAGGTTGGAGAGCTGGCCTTCACGGCTGCCTCTCGGGATAACTAAACGCCATTTCTTCTTCTTAACAATAAGGAGTGAGAGGGGGGCCATATCCGTGTATTGCAGCTGTCTGTTTACGCACAATGGAGGCATAGCAGCTCACTCGAGCCTGACTCAGTCTGGGGCTAGTTTCTGGCTCAAACCCGACAGAGTCGGGGGGCGGTGAGCAGCTTACCTCCAGAGATAGCCACCGTGACCAACCCGACCCGGCCTGAGCCCGTGCACGTTATGTCCGGGACCAGCCCAGCCCGTCCAATTAACTGTAATTATGGGCCTGAGCCCAATTTAAACCCGACATTTTTCAATAAGTTGGCTGTTATAATTAACGCTAAGGACAGTCCTGCGAGTGTACTCGCAGGCGCTTGACTGTCCACACAGGCAGCGCATTTCTCCTGTGCTCTCCGCTCCGGTTAAACATCGACTCCACTCGTCTGTTCCCGTCAGTACTCGCTTTTTCACTTCAAGAGATCATTTTAAACATGGGTAAGTCCATATTTTCATCGTTTTTTATAATGTAATAAGTTAATGACAATTTGTCATTACATGTCAATGTATTGAGCGTGTTGGATAAACACTGAATGAATAGGGCATATTTTTTGGAGGCAAGGAAAGCCGCTGTCCCTCCCACTTATCTCTACCACCCCCCCTCTCTCTCTCTTTCTGTATGTGTGAATTGCAACCCCCAACCTGTAGCCATTTCTCTCTCTCTCTCTCTCATATCTGTCTCTCNTCTCTCTCTCTCTCTCTCTCTCTCTCTCTCTCTCTCTCTCTCTCTCTCTCTCTCTCTCATATCTGACCGGGCCCGGCCTGGGCCTGTCAGAGGGGTGGGGGGTCCCGGCCCGACCCGGCTTGGGCTCACGGGCTGGGTCGGGCCGGGCTAGGGCTCGGGCAGAGAATCTAAGCTCTACCCTCCAGTAGTAGTGTCCCACTGTCCCGTGTCAAAGAAAATACGCGCACTGCAGTGTTTAGAAAGACAGACCCACTCTTGTCTGCCTTAAGGCAAGGTGCCAGGGCCAGCCGGTGTCGAAGGCTAGGCTGTCTCAATGGGTTGCGGAGACTATTCAGCAGGCTTACAGAGGGGCAAGAATGCCAGTACCGGTGGGTGGGCGGGTACACTCAACACGAGGTGTAGCTACCTTGTGGGCCTTGTGGCAGGGTGACACCCTCTCTGAGGTCTGCTACATGGTTAAGTCGTTCCACATTTGCCAGATTTTACTGCCTGAAGGTGGCTGCTGGCACCTCTTTTGGGGAGCGTGTGATGATTGCCACCACACAGTAAGCCATGTAATTCCATGCCACTGAGCTGGGGGAGGCGCCTTACCCAGACAGGGTGATGTCGTGGGCATGGGTACAGCGGCACACAGCGTCTGCCTTGTCACCGTCCGTTGAATGCGCAAGATGTTGTTCATTTGTGTGTAGTTTATTGGTGTTTTTTCGTATATACACACCTACAGTATTTGGTATTTTCTGTTGTTAATGCACCTGGTGGCGGGGATGTCTCATTTGAATACCTGGGGGGCTTGTGTACCTGCATCTGCTCTGTCTCCTGTGGCCCCTCACAGGGTTTCCATAGTTATGATATAACTACTGGGTGGGGAGATAATCTCGATATGATAGAGAACATTCAGTTACTTTGTAACCTTGGTTCTTTCAGTGAGGAGATTATCTCCCCCAGGCTCAAGGCTGATTGGTTCCCGTTCCAATCAATGTTAATCAGTGGGTGCATGCACAAGGTGGGGCTTTCATAGCCTGGCACATGCCGGCCACGTAAGTGGTGGGTCTTAAAGATTATTAATTTTCCACATCAGTGACTTGGGGATAATTCCCATAGTTATGATATAAGTACTGGTTGGGGAGATAATCTCCTCACTCAGAGAACCAAGGTTACCAAGTAACAGAACGTTTAAAAACCACATTATTTCACATTTTACCCCCAAATATGTCAGTTTATCTCCTTGAATTTCAAACTAGTCCCTTAAAAATTCTTAAATAGATGCCAGAAATATAATTTCTCTGTCTTTATGTGTGAGTTTCATCAGAGAACAGCAGAAATCAAAGTGATTGTTTCTCTGTGTTTTTACAGCTGCAGCGCTGGGGAACCTAGTTTCAGATTTGGCAGGTCTTGGGTAAGCTGATTCATAAAAGTGTCTTTATTTTACGGTAGATGTGTAAAGTCTATTGAAAAAGGTTCAAGGTTCAGCTGGTGTTTCCTGCATTTTAAAATTAAAATAAATAAATCAATAAACTGAGATTTCTTTGTCTTGTTGCTTGGTGGTGTGTAATTTTTTTTTTCTTGCAGTTTGAAATTTGAATTATTTCAGTGCATTTACCTTGTTTTTTTTTTCTGTCCTAAAATACCTTTCATTTCCTTCCAAGGTAAATACTTGTAGGTCATTTTGGTGTGTTTTTGTGTGCTTTGTCCTCTTTTATCTTTGGGAGAACCAGTTCGTTAAACACTTTCACCCTGATGAGATTTTTTAAATGACCATTTTTTTGATTAGGGAGGTTAGATAAAGCAAACATATGTTAATACAGACACATGTTTGCTTTATTTTTAGATGTGAGAACCAGTTTAAAAGAACCTGCTGTTTACAGCTTATAATTATGGAATAGGATTTGGATGTCATTAGATTAAGATATAGGATGGTAAATGTTTGTTGTCAATAAATGTCCACATGATCATAATTAACCAAATGTTTGTGTTTGTGTAGTCTTGCAGGTTATGTGGAGGCTCTGGCTTCCAAACTGGGGATGCAGGGTCCAGATCTGACGCCCAAACAGGTGGACATGTGGCAGACCAGGCTCAGCTCTCACATGGTGAGATTTAAATTTAGCACAAAAAGTAAGGAAATCTGTGTTTGGTAGATTATTTCTTTGTTGTAACAATGCTTCTTGGCAATAAACCTTATACCATTGGAAAGCCTGTTTATTTCCCTTTTAAATGGTGCCACATTTGTAAGGAACATGCATTTGTGGGATGAGCAGCAGAGCTGAGTATGTGGGTTGCACCCATGAAAAATCTGCCAAATTTTCTCTGCCAATGCCAAACAGCTTTTTTTTTTTTTTTTTGCTGTTGACTCTTGTTTGGTGTTGTTTGGTGGATTGGATGATTGAAGTCTGAAGAAACAAGACATATTGGTAATTTAATAAATTATTCATTTAACAAACAGTAGCCTTAATAGCATGTGAAAGAACCATACACAGCCACAACAGCCTGGCACCTCCTCCTCATGCTGGTCACCAGCCTGGTCACACACTGCTGTGGGATGGCATCCCATTCTTCAACCAGCATTTGTCGCAAATCAGCCAACGTGGTTGTGTTGGTCACTCTGCCACGAACACAACGCCCAAGCTGATCCCACAAGTGTTCAATGGGGTTGAGGTCAGGACTGCTGGCAGGCCATTCCATCGTCTCCACTCCCAAATTCTGGAGGTAGTCTCTGATAAACCCCGCTCTGTGGGGGCGAGTGTTGTCATCTTGGAGGATAGAGTGCGGTCCTAGACTGTGGAAATATGGGATGACCACTGGTTGCAGAATTTCATCTCAGTATCTCTCTGCATTGAGATTGCCTCCAACGATGACAAGCCTCGTTTTTCCAGTGAGGGAGATGCCGCCCCACACCATCACACTGCCTCCACCAAAATATGTTACTCTATCGGTGCAGCAATCAGCAAAGTGTTCTCCGCGTCTTCTCCATACTTTGACCCCACGATCCAACTGCTGTAGGCAGAATCTGGACTCATTGCTGAACCTAACATTCCTCCACATGTGCAGGTTTCAGTGCACATGTTGCCGACACCAGTGCAAAATGGCCTGACGGTGAAGTGCAGTCATGGCAGGCCTCCTGGCGGCTCTATGAGACCAGAGATTGGCTGCCTGCATTCTGTTCTGGATTGTCTGGGCAGAGAGCCATCGGCCATATCATCCAGACCATTTCCTAATCCTGACAGGATTAGGAAATGGTCTTCTTGGGGTGCCGTCTTCTTGGAACGCCCACTTCGCGGTCTGTCTCTGACATCCCCTGTTATATGGAACTTGGCCTTCAGTTTGCAGATGGTACTAGGGCTCACTCCAAATAATGCCACAACTTGATTTTGTGGAACACAAGCTTGAAGTTTCCCTATCACACGGGCCCTATTCAGATCAGAGTCCTGCACGGGTCCAGTTTTCAAGATCTGCCCTGACCCGACCCGGCGACGTACAAACCCGCACCCGAACCGCAAACCCGCACATCAGGCCAATTAGTACCGCAACCCGGTCTGTCCCGTTGAAACACGACCCGCAGCCCAACCCGTAACCCGGATTTAAAGTAATCATTTTGGGTCATATTGGCTGAATATTGAACAGCATATCGCCACAGTTAAGGTGCCAGTAAGTAAACAACAACCTGAATGAAGCAGCTCTCACAATAAAAACCTGACTTCAGTTATGTTCTTTCGTTACGTTTAATGCTTTTAAACTTTTAATCTATGTAAAGGAACTTTACATGTGTAATAATAGACTTACTTTCTGTCCAGAGCGACGTTCAGCAGTTACGAGCCGTCACGTGTTTTTAGAATCCATCGAGGAGAGAAGTAATCCATCAGGGAAACACTTCAGAAACATTATAAAGTGATAGTTGTACGTTTTATCCACTTATTTCTCAAATACCTAAATAATTATTTACTGTTTTGGAAGCGGCGCTTGTTAGATGGTGGCAGCCATATTGATTCTGTCGTCCAATCACAAATTGTGTTATTAGATGGTGAAACGCGTGTAAACAGCTGAACCAATGACCGTTGTGAAATAACGGAGGCAATCCTCAGAGAGTAAATAATGACCAAGATAGTTATCTGTAGTTTACCGAACTAATGACTGATGTGTTTATCTAAAACCCGCGATCCGACCCGCATGTTATTTTTTCCACCCAGATCCGAACCCGGGAAAAAATGTTTTTTTAAAAACCACCCGCAAATCAGCTGTTTTTGTGGGTACCCGACCCAGTGCAGGACTCTGATCCAGATCAGTCAAATTTGGCATGCAGATTCTTGGAGCAGACACCAACTGACCACTGTAGCAGGGCCCATGCTCACAGGGGTACCAGAATCAGCAAAAAAAAAAGCTGTTTAGCATTGGCAGAGAAGATTTGGCATATTTTTCATGGGCACAACCCACATACTCAACTCTTCTGCTTATCCCACAAATGCATGGTCCTTACAAATGTGGCACCATTGACAAGGGAAATAAACAGGCTTTCCAACGGTATAAGGTTTATTGCCAAGAAGCATTGTTACAACAAAGGAATAATCTACCAAACACAAATTTCCTTACTTTTTGTGCTTAGTTTAGATATTTATTTAGATTAGTTTTGGGGCTTTTTATGATTTTTGCTATAAAGCCAACAGTAGCGAAATAGAAGAGGAGATAGAGATGGGAAAGAAATGCAACAAAGGTCTCCAGCTGAAGTCAAACTGAGGATGTTGCACTTTAAACATACACCAGAGGGGCCTGATTTTTAATGCCTCTAGCATCAGCCTTAGCCAGAGGCATTATGTTTTTGGGTTGTCTATCTTTCTATCTGTCAGTCCTATTCTTGTGAATGCGATATCTCAACAACACCTTGAGGGAATTTCTTCAGATTTGGCACAAATGTCGACTTGGAGACCAATCGGCCACAAGCAGGCACTCATTTCTCCTATTGCAAAAATTGGTCCATTAATGAAGGAGTGTTTGAAAAACTGCAATAATTACACCAGTGTTTAAATCAGGTGATCATATAGCATTAGTAATTATCAGTCACCGCCAGTCAATGGCGACCTTGCGATCGCAATAATGAATGCGAATTCAACGAAAATCCACAATATTTGTGGGGGCTTGCAATTTTTCAAAAGTCCCCCGATTGTTCCGCATTTTTCCGCATTTTCCGGCCTAGCGGAAGTCGTCGCGCATGCGACGTCATTTGAAACGTCATCAGACGCGTCATCAAATGTGCTAATGGCATTGCAGTATGGAGAAACGCTCTGTATTGACATAAGAATTTGCACTGTTTAAATGCATACAATATGTGCTGATTGTATTAAAATGTTATGTTTACAGAAGATAGCTTACATGTTTTACAGTCACATTGTCTGGTTTGAGAGCTGCAATATTCACTCAGGATTTTTTTTGCAACATTATTGGAGTCCATGTTTTGAAACTAATTAAATAAAACTAAAGAAGAGAACTATAAAAAAAAACATTTGCAGCTATTTTTGTAATATTCGGTATGATTATTATAGCAAGTGATTACATGACTTATTTTTTTGGAGGTAGTAATTTAAAAAAAAAAAAATCCCTTTTTTTTTTCTTCTCCTTTTGTCATGAGCCACAATTTTTGTCATTTGCCACAATTTCCCGCAAAAAAATCACATAAAAAGCAAATTCAAGGGTGTTTGGCCGCAAATTGGGCAAGGGGGGAGTGGTAGGGGCTGTTTTCTCCGACTTTAAGAAAGCCCTTGATACTGTTAATCTTGAGGTTCTAATTACTAAGTTATCAAAGTTTAATTTTTCTCCTACTCTCATTAAATGGATAACATCATATCTTACAGACAGAAAACAATGTGTTTGCATGGATCAGATTACTTCAAAAGTGGCTAAAAATCATGTTGTTATGCTTCAAGGTTCAACTTTGGGTCCTCTGTTATTTAGTTTGTTTATTAATGACCTACCTGAACCTTTTCCTCCTACTGTAACTTGTCAGATGTCAGAGGATGACACAGTCATATATTTACTTGCAAAATAAAACAAGCAAGTAGCAGAAGAGCTATCCCCTTCAATGGTCAATATTTCTAATTGGTTAACAAGCTGTTTTTTACATCTGAATGTCAGTAAAACTGTATTTATGTTTTTCTCAAAGTCTGTGAATAGAGATTAAGATCCAGCCGTTATAGTAGTAGGGAGAAGATTATCAGTAGTACATGAGTTTAAATATTTAGGCATAGTAATAGATTCACAGCTCATATTCAAAACACAAGTAAAAAAAGACTCAACTTCAATTTGTCAAATTTTAGACACATCAGGAGCAACGACAGAGGCCTCAAAGCTAAGGTAAGGTAACTTTATTTGTACCCGAAGGTAGATTTGGTTCACAGTTTAAGTGATTTGGCTTCATCCACACAAAACAGACAAACAGGTCAGACACGGTAATATTATAACAATAAAAAAGGTAAAGTGCCATCAGTGCGTCATATCAAAGTGCAGGAGGAAAGTTGTACCTTAATGTAATGATTTTTTTTGTCTGACCAGCTAGACTCAAACAGGCAAAACTGCACTAAAACCAGTAGAAAGACTGTACAAATAGGCATTAAAAACATTAAAATTCATCATTCACAACAGTCAAATTCATATCATCATTGTAAAATTTTAACAAAATGATTTTTTAAATTGGGAAAATAGGATCACATTTGCTCCTCCGAGAACCCTTATCACCTTATCGTGGTGGAGGAGTTTGAGTGCCCTAATGACCCTGGGAGCTATGCTGTCGGGGGCATTTTGCCCCTGGTAGGGTTTCCCATGGCAGATTGGTTCTGGACGAAGGGTCAGACGAAGAATGGTTCAAAAGACCCTTCATGATGGATACAAACAAGGACACGTGTACCCGGCCCGGAGGGTTACCGGGGCCCCGCCCTGGAGCCAGGCCTGGGGTTGGGGCCCGTGGGCGAGCGCCTGGTGGTTGGGCCTTCGCCCATGGGGTCCGGCTGGGCCCAGCCCGAACCGGCTACATGGGCTCGTCCCCCTGCAGGCCCACCACCCGCAGAGGGATCCAGAAGGGTTCGGTGCAATGTGGATTGGGCAGCAG